ATTTTAATAAAAAGAAAAATACAATAAATTTAATATATTTATTTTTCTTAAAATAAATAATAAATATGATTTTACAAGGGACACTTTTGCCAAAAATTCAAAATTAAATTTTCATTAGTTAGATGGTGAGACGCTGATTTTCTGTCATGAGGATAAGTTTGTGTAAAATGACACACTATCCAGTATATATATGTGTGATATACACACGAATCAAAAATCAAACAAAAATGTTAGAAATTTTAAAAAATTTATTAAAAAATTTATCAAATATTTTATATAGGTGTGAGACCACACCCATATAAGACATTTGATAAAATTTTAATAATAACATGAAAGATAAGCGAGTATGTGCAGAAAATTCTATTTCCACACACCAAGTTTCCTTACTCCACACACGTAATGAATTTTTTTAGAATTACAGTTTTATCCTCTAACAAATTACCATCTCACCTACCACCATCTCACCCATACATCTCGCAATTTCTCCATACACATCTCACCTACCACCATCTCACCAGCCACTTCATCGCCGGCCATTGCCTCACATGCCCACTCCTCAACCACACATAACATTTCCTTTCACTTTCCCCACTCCTTTCAGTCCCTACAAATTACTTATCAGTCTTGTGCATCAGTGATTTAATGCGACTTAGGAGCATAATTGATCATTTGGTTACACAACAAACCATTTAATATGCTTGAAACCTTTAAGTTATAGATGAAATGCTTGAGATCTGCAAGTTAAATTTGATGTAAATCATTGAGTAGGAGTTGATTTCCATCCCAAGTTCCGATAGAATTCCAGATAGTGAACTGAGAAGACATGAAGTTCCTCCATCTCTTGACTCTCTCTTCTATCCATTTTCTCATCTTGTCTAAGGCTTTAGTAAGATCCATGTTGTGGCAGAGGAATTTTCTTCTTCTTTTCATTCATTCATTCTTTCTTTCTTTTCGTATTTTTTATAATAATATCTGATAAGAAGCAATTTCTAAAATAAAATAATCTCAAGGAACGACAACATAATTGTAGTTACAGACTCTAATCTCACACTTTCAGAAATCCTTAGGTAATTACACTGCACCTCGAGAAGTGGTGTCCTTGATGACGGACAGGATGACATGGATTGGTTGTGAACATTTGTGCATCCAATTAACTTTGAAATAAGATTTTGTATACTGCTACTTTAGTTTTATGAATTTTACTTTTCTAGACACTCCTCTAAAATTTCTTTGGTTGCTTAACAGATCAAAATCTAATTTTGGTTTAATGTGCTACTTAACAAGATGGCATTCTTAAGCTTGGACAGGCATTTTGTTTCCTTCATTTTCCTGTACGAATTAGATTGACTATGCAAGTTAATGGATACTTTGAGGTTTCATCAAATCGACATGGCATATGGTATGGAGCTGATATGGACAGAAGTGGAAAAATTCGTTCTCTCTGGAATAGGCTTCTTTTAGAAAAAGTTACGGCCCCTAGTTTTAGGCTGAGAGGCTGGGAAAGGGTGGTGGTTGATGTCGTCATTACCGCCATCGCGGGTAACTGGTGTAGTTAGGGTTAAGGTTTTTGGAGTGAGAAAGGATGGAAGGAGAGGATGTGCACAGAGAAGATGAGAGTATGTTTAGAATGTGAGGTGTGTGGACTGAGATAAAGAAGTAAAAAACAAATTACTAAATGTGTGGATTGAGAAATATAATTTCCCAGTGTGCTTTGGTACAAACGAAAATAGTTGTTTACTTGCGCAAAAACATATATCATACTTATAATTATTTTGAGAGTTAGGCTTCTCTTCTTAATGCTTTAAAAGGACTAGATTGACTAGTTTAGCTTATGAACTTATCACATGTTCCATTTCAATAAAAAAAAAAATAATACAATAAATTTAATATATTTATTTTAAAAAAAACAAATAATAAATATGATTTTAAACTGGACGCTTTGGCCAAAAATCCAAAATTAGATTTTATCGGTTAGAGCTTGAGATGCTGATTTTCTTTGTTCAGACAAGCTTGTGTAAAATGACACAATACTGAGTAGAGTCCAGATCATCTGTCGCCCTTTCTTGCGGCGCTCGCGAAAACGACGTAGTTTTGGCAAAAACAACGTCGTTTTACTCCTTTTTTATTCTTTTTTTTTTTCAAAATTTGAGTCTCCCCCTTTTTTTTCACTTTCGTCTCTTTCTCTATCATTTGTGTTTAGCCCTAACAGAAGAGAAGAGAAACGCGAGACAAAAAGAGAGAGAGTGGCGTAGAGACGAGCTGAGAGAGATGGAGAGGTGAACACGATGGAGAAAGAAACAAACTAAAAGAGATAGCGGAGGGATGTGATGGCGAAGGATAGAGGAAGGCGGAGGGACAAGATGGCGGAGGACAGAGGATGACGGGCGATGCTGTGTCTAGTGGCGACGCGACGGCGGCAAGGCGAGATTGCGGCGATGACGAGGTCCATTTCATCATCATTGTCATTTGTTACTGTTCTATATATATATATATATATATATGATTCTTAGGGTAGATTTGTTGTTAATTTTTTAAATAGGTTTGATGATAAATAGAAGAAAATATAAAAGAAATGGGTTCGCTTTCTGTTAGATTTGTTGTTGTTTTGTATATATATATATATGTTTATTGGGTTAGATTTGTTAATGATAATCTGATTTATTGTTTGATTTCTTGCCATGGTTTGATTCTTGGGTTAGATTTGTTTGATGATAAACTGATTTATGTTAAACGGGTTTGTGTTGATGATAATTTTGTATATATATATGATTATTGGGTTAGATTTGTTGATGATAAACTAATTTACTGATTTATTGTTTGATTTCTTGCCATGGTTTGATTCTTGGGTTAGATTTGTTTGATGATAAACTGATTTATGTTAAATGGGTCTGTTTTGATGACAATTTTGTATACATATATATATATGATTTCTTCACTGTCAGAGATAGTAAAGCCTCATCTACTATCTCGCCCACAATATCCACAAATAAACACTCCTCTCTTTCATGGGGTTATTGGGATGCTTGGAAAACACTGAGTTTCACTTGCATATTCCCAAATGAAACGTCCATAACCCGATACGACAATTAATACATGCATTAGCTGTAGCCAAGAAAGGTTGATCTAAGATCACCGGGATTTGTTTTCTAGAGCTGGCTACCGGTTCTATATCTAAAACCAAAAAATCAACAGGAAAATAAAATCTATCAACCTTTACTAGCACATCCTCAATTATACAGCGTGGCACTTTTAAAGACCGGTCAGCCAACTAGAGTGTGACAGTAGTAGGCTTCTACTCGCCAAGCCCGAACTCCTCGTACATAGAGTATGGCAATAAATTGACACTAGCCCCTAAATCTAACGAGGCCCTATCAATGAAATGGTCCCCTATAATGCATGTAATGGTTGGAGCACCTGGGTCTTTAAGCTCAGAGGGTGTACCACTCAATAAGATGGAGCTTACTTGCTCCATGAGCATGACCTTTTGGGACATGTGTGTCATAGATTTACATTTTTACGTACAAAGGTCTTTCAAAATTTTGGCATAGGAGGGTACTTGCTTAATCGCTAACTTGTTTAAAAACCTCCATCATCGCTTCCATGGATGTCGTCTTCTTATTAAAAGGGGGCGGTGTATCAAGGTATTGGGGAAATGATGCCTTAGGCACCTATGGTGCCTTAGACTCATGTGAAGTACTAGGGACTAAGTCATCCCCCTTATGTGTTTCTCCCTCACCCTTGCTCTCATTGGGTTTACCACCGTGGTCACCTTTCTTACCCCTAGTTGCATCAAACGCAACTAACCGAGGCTCTAACTCATTTCCACTCCTCAAAGTAATCGCTGTTTGCACCTGTTCATGATGCTTTCCATTCTCACTTGTCCCCTCTGCCCCATATTGACCCTTAGGGTTAGCCACAGTCTGACTCGGTAATTTTCCCTCATCTCTCATATTCATGTTATTAGCCATTTGACCTAATTGGGCCTCTAACTTGGCAATAGAGCGAGTGTGGGAGTGAATTACTGGTGCTAACCCCTTAAGCTCTGAAAGAACTTTCAACACTTGAGTTGTGATGACCCGGAATTTATTTTTTTTTTTAAAATAGACAGTGCATAATTTAATTGAGCAAATTTTCGGATTTGACTGCTGTGTAAATTTTGTGCAAAAACAGTTCGATTTTTTTTATATTTTTTTAAAATAGTTTCCGATCTCAGAAAATTATGAAATTTTTATATGTTGTTCACATACGAGTCTAGAAACGTTGAGTAAAAATTTCAGAATTTATTGATGAGTATTTAATTTATGAAAATTCACGGACTGATCGGTGTTCGGTCTACTATACAACAAAATTTGATATTAAGTTTTGGGTCTTTAGGCCATGACTTGAGATTAGTTTGTTGAGTCTACTTTGATGTATTAATGGGTGATGTTTAAATTATGGTTGAGACTCATGATTTAGATTTAATTTAATTTGAGTTTGTTTAGTAACTCACATTTAACTGTTTGGTCTTTTTTAATTATATGATTTGTAGTAATCACCTCGAGCGTATTTAATTCATTATCTACTTAAGACTAAATTAGAGGTTTATTTGAAGTTGGTAAATTTTAATCATTTTAAATCTAATTGGTTGAATTGATTTGGAAGCTATATTTTTATAAACTTATAAATATTTTATTGAAGGACTTAATGCATTCCTTTAAAGTATTGTTGGGCAATTACTTTTTGGAGACCCATTTAAAGAACATTTTCATACATTTTAAGGAATAAAACAAACACATCACTAATACCTTTTTCTTTGGCCCACCAACCCACGTGATTACCAGAGGCTACTTTTCTTGGTTATTAGATTTTGTTTATTAGTCTTGTTATCTTTCCATATGTATACATTGCGTATATATAAAGAAGACTAATAAATATTCAGTTTTAAATTTGTAAAACTATCTCCTTTAAATCTTTTGACTTTGACTGGTTGGTGAGCCATATCTTTTTCTTGGGACTGCCGAATACACATCATCCCCTTCATCATTAGTTTGGCTTGTATAACACTTTCCCCAATTTCTCAAAACTGACCACAAGTCCCTTATCTTCTCCCATGTTTTGACTTTCTTCTTCCAAACTCTCTTTTTTGTGAGCTTGGGATCAGTCCTTGATCTTCCATTATAAGATCTAGCGCTTGGGTGATTTATTTGAGGCCTTTAGCAAGTGTGATTTAGTGTGAAGTTTGAGGGATTATTGAGAAGCTCGTGGCCATCTTTGAAGATCTTAAAGATTGGTGGTTGATCTCTAGTCTTCTTTATCTCCTTTTTGCTATATTTGTTAAAGCTTCTATTCAAGAGGTAAGGATTTTTCCTACACTTCTTTATGTACTTTTACTTGATTATATGGAGCTTAGAGTTGTATATAATTTAATTAGAATTTTTGAAAAATTTGTGATTTATTTGCTTAAAAGGAAAATTTTGAGAAAAATAAAGAGTTGATGTCCAAATTGTAAAACTGCAAACTTGGAATATGTTTGTAAGGTTATGAAAGAGCTACGTTTTAAATTTGAACAAAAATAGACTTTGATTCGATTGATTTTGAAATTTTTACCGGTTTATGACCAAAAGAGTATTTTTAAAAAAACAAAAGAATTATGTTTAACTTTTGGGGCTTTTGATCAAAATAGGATGTCATAGTTGAATAATGCTTGGAGAATGAGTTTGGAAAGAAAATGATGTTTTCTTGGGCATTAACGGTATTATTTTGCTTAATGTATCTGTTGGAATAAAACCGACACGATTAGAAATGGACTTTGAGAGGTTACCGGAGGTGATTGTAATATGAAAATTAGTGTAGTTGTTCATATTTGATGAGATGTGGAATAGATTGTATTTATCATAATTTTTTGAATTCAGGGATTGTTTGGGATGACTTAAATAAGTGCACTTTTTGTCTTTTTATGAAAAGATGTGCAACAAAGTAAAGAGGTGATGTGATGGAAAAAAGATAAAAAGATAAAAAGATGAATTATTTTGGGTATGCCAAACTTGGCCTTAATTGTTTAAATATCTGTTTAGAAATATCTGTATTGGGTTATCGGTGAAGGATAGCCATGATTATTGTAGAAATGCATGAAACTTAGGTAAATTGAACCACATTTCTCATTTATTGCATTGGACATTGCATTACATTCATTTCATTGAAATGTATCTGTTTTTAAGAAATGTTTGGAAATGTATCTGTTTGCGAAAAAATGAATACTTGGTAAATCTGGGTAGGGGGTGTAGAACCGTGCGGTTAGGTGTCGAGCCTTCCAGTTTACAGGTAAAAATGACAGTGGTAGTGCATTAGGGCCTACTTGTAAACACTCACCTAGAGATTCATAGAGCATGTATTCATGTAACAAATACGGTTTAAAATGGAAATGGTTTTATATCTGTTGTTGTATCTCAGCATTGCATGCTTTATAAAAAGAGAGATAAATTGTTTTATCATGAGCATGGCATGAGCATACTCTTCTTTAGTCTTGTCATAGTCCATATGTTGTGTAGTACATCTCTACTAGGTTGTGGCTCACCCTATAAGGGAAACCATTTCAGGTACATGTGATATGCCTCCGCCAAGGCACTGACTTGGGGGGACTCGGAGCTGAGGCTTCATTTTTGTTTTATTGTTATTTGTTGAATGTAAACCCAGGGCTGTATTTGCGTTGAGTTGAAACTTCATTTGTGTAACCAAGAATGTTCTTTGATAAATTTGCAAACTTGTAGGGCACTCATTATTTGTTTGGCTTCCATTTCATACTTGTTGTAAAATGCATGCTTAGTATTGGAACTGGGGCATTGAGATGTGAACAACATACGTTTGACATTAGGGATTAAATGGAACTGGATGTATGGAATAGTTAGTTATAAATATGTGTTTGTCTATCAGGTGGGTTTGTTGTATAAATAGATATACCTTGCCGAAATTTTTGGGGTGTCAAATGAGTCTCAAAGGCTAAGTTGCCTTGACGAAGGTTACCGGTAAGGTTGTGGTGGGCGGTAGGAAGATTGGTTGGCAAAATTATTAAAATTCTGCCTTTATGGTGAAGGGTTGTACAGGTCTTCATGAAAAATTAGGGTGATTTCTCCATCCCGGGTTATATGTGTTAGAGTATGGGTCATTACCGGTTTGGAGAATCCTTGAGCCGTATTTACATGCTCTTGGACTAATTCTAGAAATTGTAATGCCAAAGGGCACTCACTCAAGTCATGAGCAAGGATCACACAAATAGCACATGCCTTGTAAAATTAAGGTTGTGGTTGTGTAACACGCCCGCGAGGGGCCCTCGCTACAGTTCGGACTCGATTTGTGTCACGGTTCTTAATCTGAACCAAAGAGTCCAAATCTGGCAAATCGTTTTGAGAAACAGATTTTTGAAAAAGTAGTGCCAAACATGGACTGCTTTGCCAGATACAGAGTCGCCACCTAAATATTTTTTAATGGGGGAATTTAGGAAACCCTAACTCGGTGCCGAAGGCCACATGTCCGTCATCACCGGAGTTGTCTCGGCTCGGGAGCTTGGGTACGATCGGGGAAGGTCAACTATGAGCACCCCCTTTCGCCCGGTCCGAAGACCGGCCTCTACTAACCGTGATATCCGTTTTTGAAAATTTTATGTGTTCTTATACCGATTATTAGCCTAGAATTACTATGTTATGCGCGCAGCAAACAAGTATAGACTAGATTGCCTAATTTGGGAATAAACATTGCATATCCGTTTGTTTTGGAAAGATGTTTTAGAATTTGCTACTCGCAAGTAGGCTAAAATGCGGATTTCAATGAGTTTTCCCAACTCAAGCAATCCAACCTCCACCCACAGGCATTCAAACAGTTTATCTCACGTAAGCATTTAGCCGCATGGCAAGCATACTGTCATGGCAACACTCACACGCATGCGGGATGCTAAAACATAAATACTTACATCGTACTCCGTGCCAAAACAGTAAACTAGTTAGCAAACATGCATGTCCTAGTTCATGTTAAGAATGGCTAATGCATCGCATGCAAAAATGCAATCTAGACAGGCTCGGCTAACCTAAACATGGCATGTGGAACGCAATCAACTATCACATATTCATTTTGTGAATTGAAGTACAAATGCAGTTAGCGTGATGTACCGAGCCTAATGCATGTAATACAAATGCATGGATGCACGCATACATAGCATAAGGTATGCTAAATTTTAAATATGCCCTAATCTACCATCATAAGCAGGTAAATAAAAGGGAAGAAAGACGTGAGGTTGGAAGACATACACCCACTCACGCACACTTATTACATAATTGCCCTTGCTCGGGGGAACCAAATAAATATTACAGTCCGAATGATAAGCAAATAAAATTATTACAGAATTTCTAATTAGTTAATATAAAGAATGCAAAAGAAAGAAGAGGATGGCCGCAGCCTCTGCCTCGGGACGCGCGAATGATGCATGCTCGAAACCCGGCCCGCCTGGAAAACCTGCACCGTACTTCTGCCACCTCTGTTTGTACTGCCCTATCTCTCTGAAAATTGTCAAAACCCTAGAACAGGTTCCTTGCATGCTGTAGAGCACCACCGGCTAGACAGAATTCCCACCGGCAGTCCAGAATTTCCATCGGCTGCCTTTGGATTTATCGGCCGTTCAAAGATTGCCGGTCGGCACTAAAATATGCCGGTCGGCAGGAGCTTCCTGCAGAAGACAGTTTTGACAGTAAACAGAGAACAGACAGTGCATGGCGTGGGGTTTCAGGCATATGTGAGCATGGTCATGCTTCCCATCATGCTTTGAACTCAAGGAAGCATGACCCTCGATCCTCGAGCCATCAATGGTGCATGATAGCCCGAGGGATCAAGTTTGCCACTTGATATAAAGATGCATGCGACACACAAATGAGAGCCAAGGCCTTATCATGTCGAAGTCAAAGGCCTCGGTGACCGAGAGTTAAGGCATGTTTCATCACTTGTAGTATGAACACCCCTTGACACTCACACTTGGTTTGACACCCCAAACCAAGTAATGCAATGCATGTTATGCAAATATTACTCAAATGCAACATGATACCAATTATGCAAAACATACCAAGTGTCATGCAACTAATATGGCAAGCATACAATGCTAAGCATGCAAAGTGCAAATGTGATGCAAACATGGACCAATTTGGCATAAAGTTAGCATGGGACAACACATTAATGAACCAATCATGCAACAAACATGAAACAATCATGCAATAGTGGCTTAAAATGGTAAAGGGGCAGACCCTCACCCACCCCAAAACAGTGGCAAAAAGTGTCCAAAAGGTGGAATGCTCATGCCAACAAGCAAATCAAAGGTCTTAAGGTTAAGGCACAAAAATGAGGCACTTCACTCCCACCAACACGACCACTCATGGCATGATTAAGACAAGTAAAAACAGAATTTTTACAGGCAAAATAGGACTCCAAACCCTCCTAATATGGCAGCTAAAGTGGCTCCAAAGAGGTGCATGCACCAAGGCTCATATCTAGGCATGAAAGGGCACACCCTCAAGGCATGGAAGAGGTCACAAATGCAAGCATACAAGCATGATTTATGGACTGAAATGGGGTCCTAAATGATGCCAAATCATGAGGATGATCATAGTTATGCATGCTAAAGGTCAAAATGCTCAAAGCTTACAAGCCAAAACATAAAGAGACGACATCAAACTACGCAAGCATGGCTGAAATGAAGGGCCAACAGACCTTAAGCATGGTAAGACAATGCCAAAACCTTCATGAAACTAAGCCTACATATGCAAGAATCATGGCCTAAACACAAGGTGCCTTTCTAGGCCAAAAGGAGCAATGCAAAGCAAGTACTTTAAGCATGCAAAGAGATATAAATCCGACCAAAAACAGAGATTACATATGACCTAAAAACACCTAAAAAGTTCTGAAATAAGGCAAAAATAAGCAAGCATGCATGTTACCCTTTAAGCCAAAATGCAAGGAAATAAGATGATGAAGGGAGAGGGGTGTCCCTCCCCTATGCAAGACTTCAAACCACCTTCCTTAACACTGAAAATCAACTGGTTTTTAGTGGTGAAAAGACCAACACACTCAAGCAAACAAGGCCTCACAAGGGAAGCACAAAAGGGGCCAAATAAAGCCTAATAAGGTGAGTTTGCACTCAAACCACAAAACAACCTTAATGAAAGTTCTAAAGCATGAAAATGTAAGCTTTTTTTATGTTATGCACAAAAGCTAAATCAGCAAGCAAAATAGGTAAAAAAATATTGCAAGTTTGGGGAATCTAAAGCAAAGTGCTCACCCTTGAAGATCCTTTGAAGATCAAATGGTCCAGCCCTCTTCTTTTGATCAAAATCAGTCCAAAACTCAAGAATCAACCCCCCAAGTCCCTCAATCTCGGAGCAAGGTGTAATAGTGTGTGTAATGGTGCAAAAGTAAGGTAAAATCACACTTTTAGGCCAAGAAACACACACAAAGGAGGAGAGAGGGGGAGATATAGAGATAGGGTGTATCTATCTATGGAAGCTCTGGTTTTTGCCTTCAAAGTTTTTCTAACCTAGAGCCAAGAGGAGAGCCTTCCTCTTATAGAGGTCCCTCTTGCAAAGCTTATACAACAAGCTTGCTTAGAGGGACATCCCTCCATACACGTGTATGGAGGGAGGCAGAGTTGGTGCTAGCTATCACAGCTGGCACAAAATATCTCCATAAAGTGGATGAACAGTGGTCGGCTGCCCAAAAATATCATTTTGACAAAATTTAGTGCCGACCGACAACAGACAGTGCCGACCAGCAACAAACAGTGCCGACCGGCAATAAAAAGTGCCGATGGCATCAAAAAGCCAGCCGGTGACCTTTAGCCACTGCCGGTGGTGTGTGGGGATGCCTCACAAGGCATTCCCTGCCCCTCCAAGGCAAAACACAAGTGTTTGGTGCAAAACCAGACACTAAACAGTCGAGTTCGGAGATCCTGAGGCAAGGCGCGTAGCCGAGACCTCCGGGAACTCCAAACGAACACAAACATGGATGATCACCGGGTGTTCAAACGGTGACGTCCAAGTCTTGAGGACGGTCAAAAATGGGTTTTGATGAGATGTGGAATAGATTGTATTTATCATAATTTTTTGGAATTTAGGGTTGTTTGGGATGATTTAAATAAGTGCACTTTTTGTCTTTTTATGAAAGGAATGTGCAAAAAGTAGAGAGGTGATGTGATGGAAAAAAGATAAAAGATAAAAAGATGAATTATTTTGGGTATGCCAAACTTGGCCTTAATTGTTTAAATATCTGTTTAGAAATATCTGTATTGGGTTATCGGTGGAGGATAGCCATGATTTGTAGAATGCATGAAACTTAGGTAAATTAAACCCATTTCTCATTTATTGCATTGGATCATTGCATTACATTCTTTCATGAAATGTATCTGTTTTTGAGAAAATGTTTTTAAAAATGTATCTGTTTGCGAAAAAATGAATACTGGAAATCTGGGTAGGAGGGTGTAGGAACCGGCGAGTTAGGTGTCGAGCCTTCCAGTTACATGGTAAAAATGAAGCGGTAGTGCATTAGGGCCTACTTGTAAGACACTCACCTAGAGATTCATAGAGCTGTATTCATGTAACAAATACGGTTTAAATGAAATGGTTTTATATCTGGTTGTTGTATCTCAGCATTGCTATGCTTTATAAAAAGAGAGAATAAATTGTTTTATCATGGAGCATTGCACATGATGCATACTCTCTTATAGTCTGTGTCATAGTCCATATGTTGGATGTAGTAATCTCTACTAGGTTGTGGACTAACCTTATAAGGGAAACCATTCTCAGTAGAATGTGATATGCCTCCGCCAAGGCACTGACTTGGGGGACTCGCGAGCTGAGGCTTCATTTTTGTTTTATTTTATTTGTTGAATGTAAACCCAGGGCTGTATTTGCGTTGGAGTGAAACTCATTTTGTGTAACCAAGAATGTTCTTTGATAAATTTGCAAACTTGTAGGCACTCATTATTTGTTTTGGCTTCATTTCATACTTGTTGTAAAATGCATGCTTGTATTGGAACTGGGGCATTGAAGATGTGAACAACATACGATTTGACATTAGGGATTAAATGGAACTGGATTATGGAATAAGTTTATAAATATGTGTTTGTCTATCAGTGGGTTTGTTGTATAAATAGATATACCCTGCTGAAATTTTTTGGGGTGTCAAATGAGTCTCAAAGGCTATAGTTGCCTTGACGAAGGTTACCGGTAAGGTTGTGGTGGGCGGGTAGGAAGATTGGTTGGCAAATTATTAAAATCTCTGCCTTTATGGTGAAGGTTGTTACAGTCTTCATGAAAAATTAGGGTGATTTCTCCATCCCGGGTTATATGTTTAGAGATATGGGTCATTACCGGTTTGGAGAATCCTTGAGCCGTATTACATGCCTTGGACTAATTCTAGAAAATTGTTATGCAAAGGCACTCACTCAAGTCATGAGCAAGTGATCACACAAATAGCACATGCTCTCGTAAAAATTAAGGTTGTGGTTGTGTTAACACTGCCCGCGAGGGGCCCTCGCTACAGTTCGGACTCGATTTGTGTCACTGGTTTCTTAAATTCTGAACCGATTAAGAGTCCAAATCTGGCAAATCGTTTGAGAAACGATTTTTTGAAAAAGTCAGTGCCAAACTATGGACTGCTTTTGCCAGATACAGAGTCGCCATAAATATTGTTTTAAATGGGGGAATTTAGGAAACCAATCTCGGATTGCCGAAGGCCACATGTCCGTCATCACCGGAGTTGTCTCGGCTCGGGATGGCTTGGGTACGAATCGGGGAAGGTCAACTAGTAGAGCACCCACTTTTCGCCGGTCCGAAGACCGGCCTCTACTAACCGTCGATATTCCGTTTTTGAAAATTTTATGTGTTCTTAATATACCGATTATTAGCCTAGAATTACTGTATATAGAATTATATAGCGCGCAGCAAACAAGTAATTGACTAGATGCCTAATTTGGGAATAAACATTGCATATCCGTTTGTTTTGGAAAAGATGTTTTAGAATTGCTACTCGCAAGTAGGCTAAAATGCGGATTTCAATGAGTTTTCCCAACTAAGCTAATCCAACCTCCACCCACAGGCATTCAAACAGTTTATTCACGTAAGCATTTAGCCGCATGGCAAGCATACTGTCATTGGCAACACTCACACGCATGCGGGATGCTATAAAACATAAATACTTACATCGTAACTCCGTGCCAAAACATAAACTATGTTAGCAAACATGCATGTCCTGTTCTTCATGTTAAGAATGGCTAATGCATCGCTTGCAAAAATGCAATTTAGACAAGGCTCGGCTAACCTAAACATGGCATGTGGAACGCAATCAACTATCACATATTCATTTTGTGAATTGAAGTTACAAATGCAGTTAGCGTGATGTACCGAGCCTAATGCATGTAATACAAAATGCATGGATGCACGCATACATAGCATAAGGTATGCTAAATTTTAAAATTGCCCTAATCTACCATCTAAGCAGGTAAATAAAGGAAGAAAGACGTGAGGTTGGAAGACATACACCCACTCGCGCACACTTATTACATAATTGCCCTTGGCTCGGGGAACCAAATAAATATTACAGTCCGAATGATAAGCAAATAAAATTATTACAGAATTCTAATTAGTTAATATAAAGAATGCAAAAAGAAAGAAGAGGATGGCCGCAGCCTCTGCCTCGGGACGCGCGAATGATGCATGCTCGGAAACCCGGCCCGCCGGAAAACCTGCACGTACTTCTGCCACCTCTGTTTGTACTGCCCTATCCTCTGAAAATTGTCAAAACCCTAGAACAGGTTCCTTTGCGATGCTGTAGTATCAATGAAGTGGTCCCCTATAATGCATGCAATGGTTAGGGCACCCTAGTCTTTAAGCTTAGGGGGTGTGTCATTCAACAAGATGGAGCTTACTTGCTCCGTGAGTATGATCTTTTGGGTCACGTGTGTCCTAGATTTATGCTTTTGCGTACAAAGGTCCTTCAGAAATTTAGCATAGGAGGGTACTTGCTTAATCGCCTCCAACAGGGTGAGGTTGGTTTTTACCTATTTAATGACCTCCATCATTGCTTCTATGGATGCCGCCTTTTTATTGAAAAGGGACGGTGTCCCAAGGCATTGGAGAAAGGGTGCCTTAGGCACCTATGGTGCCTTAGACTCATGTGAAGTACTAGGGACTAAGTCATCCCCCTTATGTGTTTCTCCCTCACCCTTGCTCTCATTGGGTTTACCACCGTGGTCACCTTTCTTACCCCTAGTTGCATCAAACGCAACTAACCGAGGCTCTAACTCATTTCCACTCCTCAAAGTAATCGCTGTTTGCACCTGTTCATGATGCTTTCCATTCTCACTTGTCCCCTCTGCCCCATATTGACCCTTAGGGTTAGCCACAGTCTGACTCGGTAATTTTCCCTCATCTCTCATATTCATGTTATTAGCCATTTGACCTAATTGGGCCTCTAACTTGGCAATAGAGCGAGTGTGGGAGTGAATTACTGGTGCTAACCCCTTAAGCTCTGAAAGAACTTTCAACACTTGAGTTGTGATGACCCGGAATTTATTTTTTTTTTTAAAATAGACAGTGCATAATTTAATTGAGCAAATTTTCGGATTTGACTGCTGTGTAAATTTTGTGCAAAAACAGTTCGATTTTTTTTATATTTTTTTAAAATAGTTTCCGATCTCAGAAAATTATGAAATTTTTATATGTTGTTCACATACGAGTCTAGAAACGTTGAGTAAAAATTTCAGAATTTATTGATGAGTATTTAATTTATGAAAATTCGCGGACTGATCGGTGTTCGGTCTACTATACAACAAAATTTGATATTAAGTTTTGAGTGTTTAGGCCATGACTTGAGATTAGTTTGTTGAGTCTACTTTGATGTATTAATGGGTGATGTTTAAATTATAGTTGAGACTCATGATTTAGATTTAATTTAATTTGAGTTTGTTTAGTAACTCATATTTAACTGTTTGATCCTTTTTAATTATATGATTGGTAGTAATCACCTCGAGCGTATTTAATTCATTATCTACTTAAGACTAAATTAGAGGTTTATTTGAAGTTGGTAAATTTTAATCATTTTAAATCTAATTGGTTGAATTGATTTGGAAGCTATATTTTTATAAACTTATAAATATTTTATTGAAGGACTTAATGCATTCCTTTAAAGTATTGTTGGGCAATTACTTTTTGGAGACCCATTTAAAGAACATTTTCATACATTTTAAGGAATAAAACAAACACATCACTAATACCTTTTTCTTTGGCCCACCAACCCACGTGATTACCAGAGGCTACTTTTCTTGGTTATTAGATTTTGTTTATTAGTCTTGTTATCTTTCCATAAGTATACATTGTGTATATATAAAGAAGACTAATAAATATTCAGTTTTAAATTTGTAAAACTATCTCCTTTCAATCTCTTGACTTTGACTGGTTGGTGAGCCATATCTTTTTCTTGGGACTTCCGAATACACAGCATCCCCTTCATCATTAGTTAGGCTTGTATAACACTTTCCCCAATTTCTCAAAACTGACCACAAGTCCCTTATCTTCTCCCATGTTTTGACTTTCTTCTTCCAAACTCTTTTTTTTTGTGAGCTTGGGATCAGCCCTTGATCTTCCATTATAAGATCTAGCGCTTGGGTGATTTATTTGAAGCCTTTAGTAAGTGTGATTTAGTGTGAAGTTTGAGGGATTATTGACAAGCTCGTGGCCATCTTTGAAGATCTTAAAGATTGGTGGTTGATCTCTACTCTTCTTTATCTCCTTTTTGCTATATTTGTTAAAGCTTCTATTCAAGAGGTAGGGATTTTTCTTACACTTCTTTATGTACTTTTACTTGATTATATGGAGCTTAGAGTTGTATATAATTTAATTAGAACTTTTGAAATTTTGTGATTATTTGCTTAAAAGGAAAACTTTGAGAAAAATAAAGAGTTGATGCCCAAATTGTAAAAGTGCAAACTTGGAATATGTTTTTAAGGTTATGAAAGAGCTACGTTTTAAATTTGAACAAAAATAGACTTCGATTCGATCGATTTTGAAATTTTTACCGGTTTGTGACCAAAAGAGTATTTTTTTTAAAAAAACAAAAGAATTATGTTTAACTTTTGGGGCTTTTGATCAAAATAGGATGTCATAGTTGAATAATGCTTAGAGAATGAGTTTGGAAAGAAAATGATGTTTTCTTGGGCATTAACGGTATTATTTTGCTTAATGTATCTATTGGAATAAAACCGACACGGTTAGAAATGGACTTTGAGAGGTTACCGGGGGTGATTATAATATGAAAATTAGTGTAGTTGTTCATATTTGATGAGATGTGGAATAGATTGTATTTATCATAATTTTTTGAATTTAGGGGTTGTTTGGGATGATTTAAATAAGTGCACTTTTTGTCTTTTTATGAAAGGATGTGCAAAAAAGTAGAGAGGTGATGTGATGGAAAAAAGATAAAAAGATAAAAAGATGAATTATTTTGGGTATGCCAAACTTGGCCTTAATTGTTTAAATATCTGTTTAGAAATATCTGTATTGGGTTATCGGTGGAGGATAGCCATGATTGTTGTAGAAATGCATGAAACTTAGGTAAATTAAACCACATTCCTCATGTATTGCATTGGACATTGCATTACATTCATTTCATTGAAATGTATCTGTTTTTGAGAAATGTTTAAAAATGTATCTGTTTGCGAAAAGATGAATACTTGGTAAATCTGGGTAAGGGGTGTAGAACCGCGCAGTTAGGTGTCGAGTCTTCCAGTTTATTGGTAAAAATGACAGTGGTAGTGCATTAGGGCCTACTTGTAGACACTCACCTAGAGATTCATAGAGCCTGTATTCATGTAACAAATACGGTTTAAAATGGAAATGGTTTTATATCTGTTGTTGTATCTCAGCATTGTATGCTTTATAAAAAGAGAGATAAATTATTTTATCATGAGCATGGCATGAGCATACTCTTCTTTAGTCTTGTCATAGTCCATATGTTGTGTAGTACATCTCTACTAGGTTGTGGCTTACCCTATAAGGGAAACCATTTCAGGTATATGTGATATGCCTCCGCCAAGGCACTGACTTGGGAGGACTCGGAGCTGAGGCTTCATTTTTGTTTTATTGTTATTTGTTGAATGTAAACCCAGGGTTGTATTTGCGTTGAGTTGAAACTCCATTTTGTGTAACCAAGAATGTTCTTTGATAAATTTGTAAACTTGTAGGACACTCATTATCTGTTTGGCTTCTATTTCATACTTGTTGTAAAATGCATGCTTGGTATTGGAACTGGGGCATTGAGATGTGAACAACATACATTTGACATTAGGGATTAAATGGAACTGGATGTATGGAATAGTTAGCTATAAATATGTGTTTGTCTATCAGGTGGGTTTGTTGTATAAATAGATATACCCTGCTGAAATTTTTGGGGTGTCAAATGAGTCTCAAAGGCTAAGTTGCCTTGACGAAGGTTACCGGTAAGGTTGTGGTGGGCGGTAGGAAGATTGGTTAGCAAAATTATTAAAATTCTGCCTTTATGGTGGAGGGTTGTACGATGTGCCTTGTGAATAAGGTCTTCATGAAAAATTAGGGTGATTTCTCCATCCCGGGTTATATGTGTTAGAATATGGGTCATTACCGGTTTGGAGAATCCTTGAGCCGTATTTACATGCTCTTGGACTAATTCTAGAAATTGTTATGTCAAAGGGCACTCACTCAAGTCATGAGCAATGATCACACAAATAGCACATGCCTCGTAAAATTAAGGTTGTGGTTTCTGTGTAGGGACATGTCCTGAAGCTAATAATTGGTCCATTTTGTAGGAAAAAGCCTCTAATTGTTAGGCTAACTCTAAGTTTTTCCTTACCTCGTAAGTACCCCCTCTTTTTGGGCTCTAATTACTAGTTACCGGACTTGCCAAGCTGCGGAGGCATGGTGAAGAGAATTATCACATAGGTTCTCAAATAATTGCCTTGCCTCGTTGTCATTTTTGGACATGAATGTCTCATCACAAAAAGAATTCACCATTTGACGATGGGGCTCAGTTAAGCCATAGTAAAATGTTTGAACAAGTTCTAGCACTTGGTGGTGGGGACATTATTGGAGAAGGTCACAAAGTCTTTCCCATGTTTCATGAAATCGCTCGCCATCAATTTGAGCAAAATTGGTGATGGCTTGCCTGAATGGGTTGGTCTTACTAATGGGAAAGTAGTTCTCCAAAAACTTCTGCTGTAATTGGTCCCATGTTGTGACAAAATTAGTAGGCAAGGAGTTCAGCTAATGTTTAGCTTTGTCCTTCAGTGAAAATGAGAACAGTCGCAACATTAAGGCCTCATTGGTGAAATTCTGGATCCTCACTATAGAGAAAATTTCCAGAAATTCATGTAGATATTTGTAAGGGTCATCATGAGCTAGTCCATAGAATGATGGGAGCATTTGGATGGTGCTAGATTTAATCTCATAACGAGTAGCGATGGTGTTGGGTAACTGAATGCATGATGGTGATGTGTATGCAGTGGGTGTGAAGTAATCCTTAAGGATCCGGTTAGACCCATTTGGGACATTTAGGTTCGCCATCTCTAATGGTTCGAAGTATGGATATGGATATTCAAGCCTAGGAACATGGGGAAGCAGCTCTAAGGTTTCTAAGAGTCCTTTCTAATTCAAGATCCAAACTCCACAATTCAGGGCGACAAGAACGACGCCCCTGCATACACCACTCACACACACACATACACTAAGTTTTGACTCTTGTGCACTAAGTTATGAAAGTAAAAGATCAAAGAAGAAAATACTCACAACGGTTTAACGAAAACACTTTACTCATCTTGCCGATGCTTGACAAGTAAATCGTTGTCTCCAATCTCCACTTGAGCTCTCTATGTTTAGCACTTTGGTGCTTTGCTTGCGAGTATTTATTTGTTTGTTTGTTTTTTTTAAACACTTTAGTGCTACGGTCTGTTTTTAAAGCTCGATTGCGCTCCGCTTGCACTTCAATGATAGTTTTACTTGCAAAAACTTTGCACACTTAGCAACACGAAAGTATAAAATCCTAAACTAAAAATTAAAATAAGAATATAACTTTAAATTAATTAATTTCACCAGAAGTCTCTGGCAACGGCGCCAAAATTTGGTGAGTGGTTTCACACACCAAAAATAAACACTAAACTATACCAAATTTCTTAAAATAACGGTAAGTCTAAGTATCGATCCACAGGGACAAACAAGAAATTAAACTAATTTAATTGTTAAATTCCTAAATTAATTTTGATGAAAGAGATGGTTGTTCATAACTTAATGATAATTAAATTAAACAAAGCGAATAAGCTAACAATTATAATTAAAGATGAAGTTATTGATTTTGGGAAAAACCTAGGGTAATAAATTCACCGCTAGTTACATAAACAAGGCTTCACTTTGAGATTGAATTATGTTACGGTTCGAACTAAATAATATTTCGTAACTATAAGTTCAAAGCATTGATCAAGAAAATAAATGCTTTCAATGTATAAGCATGAATCATCTGAAGTAGTATGAGTCGTTTGCTCTAAACTAGAGTAGCAACACGACTCACGCCTCATAGTATGGCTCGTCTCATACCTTGAACATGAAAAGCACAGAAAACCATTGCATGGGAAGCATTCAACAATCACATAAAGAAAAATACTTGAAGAAATAATAGAAAATTATATTGAAAATTTCTTGAGAATTATACAATTGTTCAAACCATTACATAAAAAAAAACCTATTTACTTGGCTAGGTTTTCATCAAAACCCTAGAAAGAGGAGCCTAGCCACTCATGGAGGCGTAAGAAGAAGTAGAAGAAGAAGAATTGCCCTTGAAACTTCAGAAAAAGCTTTCCAAACCCTAGCCCCTCATTTTCTCTGAAATATTTTTGAACCCTAATTACAGCCTCTTCTCTTTTTTTATTCCCAGCAAAACAGGCTTGAATTTACACGCACGTAGCCCTAGATGGGCCATTCAAGCGCCCCTCATTTCCGCTCGAGTAATGGTGGGCCACACGTGCGGTAGAGCCTGGCCACACGTGTAGTAAGGTGGCAGGCCGGGAATTTTCATTACTCACATGGAGAATTTGTTTTACACCACTTTTTACTTGAATTTGCGTGTTGCCTGCCAAATCTATACAAGTGCACAAAATACATCATCTCCACCAAATAAACAAAATTCAAAGACTATAAATGTAACTTAAGTGGCCCCAATATGGTACCTTTTGGCCCATATCAAGTGGCATACCGTTTGGCTTTACCGCCACATCTTTCGGGGGTTCACAACATGTTCCATGTATCTATGCTTAGGAAGTATGAACTAGACCCTTCACATGTACTTGATTAAGTTAATTTGGAGGTAGATGAGGATACCACATATGAAGAACGACTAGTTCAAATCTTAGATGTCCGAGAACAAGTGTTGAGGGGCAAGACCATACCATTAGTGAAGGTGTTGTGGAGGCACCATGGAATTGAGGAGGCTACTTGGGAATGAGAGGCGGAAGTCTGCTCCAAGTATTCAAATTTATTTGAGAACACTTAGTTTATTCTAGATTATGATCTCTCTTGTGTTTGAGAATAAATAGTTGAATTTGTAAACCACTTGTTGTTATAATTGTTGTTATTTTGAGAGCACGAGAACTATTGTAGGATTGTTGCAATTGTTGTTGAACTCGTGCTTATGATTATCATGTTAGTGGTTGTTGGATTGTGGCCTTGGCCCATGGAAAATTTTTGATAATAATAGTAAAATGTTGTTAAGATTGAGATCTCCATGTTATAATTAAATTGTTGTTATT